TTTGTTTGTGGAATGAGCTTATTTTGTTTCCTCCTTTTCTTTTCCAGATCGACCACTACGCCCAGAGGGACCTGAAGAAGGGGCTCCAGTTGTTTGGCACCGAGGGAAACGTGGGTCTGACCAACGCCTGGATGATCGTACAGACCGATGTAAGCTGGATTTAGAGTACATAGAAAACTAAATATGGTCACCAGCCAGAAAAGAGCTTATACAGTGGGGGAAATAAGTATTTGAGCCCTTGCTGATTTTGCAGGTTTGCCCACTTACAAATAATGCAACGATCTATAACTTTAATCATATGTACATTCTAACAGTGAAAGACAGAATCCCAAAGAAAATTCCAGAAAATCACATCATATGAATTTATAAAAATTGATAACCATCTGATGAGGAAAAATAAGCATTCTTTGCAAGGGGTCAAATACTTATTTCCCCCACTGTATATAACACTTAACCCTGTAATGCCAAATGTATCATATTTGATTCATACGGTTTCTGAAATGTTTTGCGTCTGACTCCTTTTGCATAATTTAATGGTAAAAACTTTGCTCAAAATCCTATTGTACACAATCAGATACACCTGATAACAGGGGGCAGAAGAATACACAACATTTTTTTGTTTTTACATATTTTGTTAAAAGGCCAAATAAAGACTTAAAACAAAAAAAAAGTAATTTTTTGTTTTGTTTTATTCTTGGATCAGGCTTTAAAGGGTTAAATATTACCCTCAAAGTTCAGGAATACAGAATCTGTCCGACTGTCAGCTGAATGTCAGAAACTCCAAAATCTTTTTTATTTTTTCATTAAAGGGAGAATTTCTAGATTTATAGTAAATCGAAAACAAATAAAACACTGTAACCCTTCACATAATAAATATATATACATCTCAAACGAGGTATGATACAAAACGATGGCTGCATTTCTGGTCCAAATCCAGTAGTAAGAAACTCAGAAATGATTTTGTTTTTGTATCATTAAAGGTAGAAATTCTAGATTTAGAGTAAATAGAAAACATATAAAACACTGTAACCCTTTTCAAAATAAAATATATATACATCTCAGACGAGGAATGAGACAAAACGATGGCTGACTGAAGCATTTCTGGTCCAAATCCAGTAGTAAGACGCTGTCTCTCAGAGGTAATCTTTATTCCCAGCTCCCACTTTGATCTGCATTTTCCTTTGTGTCATGCATTATTTCGAGGGTTTTTTTTCTTCAAAGTTCTGAGCAAAAATAAACAAATCCAACACAACGTGGGGGACACAGATTGGGAATTAAGGATGGCTGATGCTGCTGTTGGAAAACACCTCTGGGAGACTTCAGATGATAGATGGGCGACTTAGATCCAGTGTTATGGCTCCCGGTTTGATTCAATTGGATGAATTATGACTTGGCTTTGTATCCGTGGTGACAAAAAAGATGGCGGAGAAATCTATAGCTATGCAGATAAATGCAGGTGTGCATCAGGATTTGTGGGTGATATAGTACAGGTTTTCTTTCTGTACAACCACAATGCACGTAACCCTTTAAAGCCTGATCCAAGAAAAATAGGAAGAATATTGGAATATTTTTAGTCTGAAGTCTTTCTTTGGTCCCTCAGCAACATATGAAGAAAAAAAACAGAAATTATTTTGATCAAATTAGCGTGCAATAAGTCAAAAATATATGTTGGTGTAGTCTTCTACTGGCTGTTATCAGGTATATCTGAATGTGTACAACAGGGGTTGAGCAAAGCTTTTACCACTGAATGATGCAGAAAGTCTCACATCCAAAAGACTTCAGAAACCGTATATATATATATATATATACACTGTATATATATACACTGTATATATATATATAATATACACACATATATATATATGTATGTTTATTATAATGCTGCTGCTCGAGTATAATTTGTGTCTGTTATCAGTTTTTCACTTGCTTAATTCTTCTAATCTTCATCTCTGAGCTTTCGGATTGCTATAGATTTTCCATAAGGAATCATGACTTTTATCTATTTCCGTCCATCAGTGCGTGTGAGCAGATAAACTAAACCAGACGGGGGTAAAAACGTCCTAACTCTAGCTCTCCATCCCAAAACGTGCACAGAATCGGGAACTGTGTGTTAATCTAAGACCTGCTCACAACAATAGATCGAGTCGGCCGAATTTAAATTCCTAAAAAACACGGGAGGCAAAAGCTGTGGAGTTTAAAATCAAACGAGAAGACGGAGACTGAAAGGGCTTTATTCAAATGTATCCACCTTGAAAAGCTAACCAACCCTGGGGTGTGTGATTTATTATTGCTTTAGTCGTTTGGCACACTGTGAATGTTTTACTGCCTCTTCTTATGTATGAACATCCTCTTCAAACAGCTCCAAACTACAGAGACTAGTCAAGGTGAACTTTGCCGTAACCCTAAAATGCCAAATGTGTCATATTTGATTCATACGGTTTCTGAAGTCTTTTGGATCTGAGACTTTTTGGGGGACACCTGGATAATTATGAGGAAAAGGGATAAATAAGGCATATATTTAATCGTTTTTTCCTTTAAAAATAGGAAAATTTGACGATAGATTGCGGTTGTATGTCATTTATATGGAACATTATTATATTTTCAGTCAAAATAATTTGATGGAACTGCATCAAACAAATAATATCTCAATTGATTTAGTAGAATATTAATTAATTGTATTTATATTACAAACCTTATATGCCACAACACACTCTTTTCTTATCCCTATAATGCCAAATGTGTCATATCTGATCCGGTTTCTTTTGGATGTGAGACTTTCTGCATCATTCAGTGGTAAAAGCTTTGCTCAAACCCCTGTTGTACACATTCAGATATACCTGACAACAGCCAGTAGAAGACTACACCAACATATATTTTTGACTTATTGCACGCTAATTTGATCCAAATAATGTCTGTTTTTTTTTCTTCATATGTTGTTGAGGGGCCAAAGAAAGACTTCAGACAAAAAAAAACAATATTCTTCCTATTTTTCTTGGATCAGGCTTCAAATGGATAATATATATAATATATTACGGTTTCACAAAGCTCATAGATGAAGATTAAAAGAATTAAGAAGTCAAAAACTGATAACAGCTTTGACACAAATTACACTCGAGCAGCAGCATTATAATATTAACTTGAATTTCCCCTTGGGGATCAATAAAATATCTATCTATCTATCTATCTATCTATCTATCTATCTATCTATCTATCTATCTATCTATATAATATATATGATATAGTACATAGTAGTTTCAGACAGTACATCTTGTTTTGGATAGTTGCATAATTTTATTTCCTTTTCCATGAGGACGGCCATTTTTCCTACAGAAACCTGATCTCATCTGAGCATGAAAGGATCCATGTTATTGACAATTCGCTCTATATATATATATTTTTTTAATTTTCTGGTGCAGTTTCGTTGCTGTGGCGTCACCAACCACACGGACTGGTTCGAGGTTTATAACGCCTCCCGCGTGCCGGACTCCTGCTGCCTGGAGTACAGCGACAACTGCGGGCTGGACAACCCGGGGACCTGGTGGACGGCGGTGAGTCCTCTAAAATTAATCCTTGTTTTGTTTGTTTTTTTACTTTGTTCTGGTTTTGTTGTTTTAGCTCTTTTACATTCAGATTAAAAACCCTGACACTCTAAATATCATCCTTGTTTTTTTACTTTCTTCTGGTTTTGTTGGTTTAGCTCTTTTACATTCAGATTAAAAACCCTGACACTCTAAAATTCATCCCTGTTTTTAGTTTTTTTACTTTGTTCTGGTTTTGTTGGTTTAGCTCTTTTACATTCAGATTAAAAACCCTGAAACTCTAAAGTCATCTGATTCATCCCCGATTTATTTGTTTTTTTACTTTTTTCTGGTTTTGTTGGTTTAGCTCTTTTACATTCAGATTAAAAGCCCTGACACTCTAAAATCATCCCGTTTTTTAGTTTTTTTTACTTTTTTCTGGTTTTGTTGGTTTAGCTCTTTTACATTCAGATTAAAAACCCTGACAGTCTAAATTCATCCCTGTTTTGTTTGTTTTTTTTACTTTCTTCTGGTTTTGTTGGTTTAGCTCTTTTACATTCAGATTAAAAACCCTGACACTCTAAAATGATCTGATTCATCCCCGATTTATTTGTTTTTTTACTTTCTTCTGGTTTTGTCCTTTTACATTCAGATTAAAAACCCTGACACTTTAAAATCATCCCTGTTTTTTGTTTTTTTACTTTCTTCTGGTTTTGTTGGTTTAGCTCTTTTACATTCAGATTAAAAACCCTTACACTCTAAAATGATCTGATTCATCCTTGTTTTGTTTGTTTTTTTGCTTTTTTCTCGTTTTGTTGGTTCAGCTCTTTTACATTCAGATTAAAAACCCTGACACTCTAAAATCACCCCTATTTTTAGTTTTTTTTACTTTCTTTTGGTTTTGTTGGTTTAGCTCTTTTACATTCAGATTAAAACTGATAACTTTTCACTTGTTTTATTCTTGTTCGAATAATACGATCAATTACGAGCAACATACTGTATTTGTTTGGTCAGAAAAGGTCAGAAAATTGTGTGATTTATCCCTGATTTATTTGTTTTTTTACTTTCTTCCGGTTTTGTTGGTTTAGCTCTTTTACATTCAGATTAAAAGCCCTGACACTCTAAAATCATCCCGTTTTTTAGTTTTTTTTACTT